AGTTGAGACATGACATTTGGGGACCATGTTCTCTCATTTCACAGATTTTAGCTATTTATTTGAGTTTTCATGCCGGGAACTTCGAAGAGAAAAGGTGGTTTAGCCCCACTGAGCTATGTTTGACATAGTGACATAGCTTGCTAGCTAACTGGTCTCTGCAATCAAAATGTACTTCTCTGGAGCCCAGCATACTTTCTTTTAAAAGCTGCCTGTGAATCAATGCATGTCTCTCTTGTTAAGGAGCACACAATTCTTCAGGTATTGGCTTCCAACATGGAATCCTTTAGAATGTTGTGCATTCCTTTTTAAAAACATTTTCCTAAATTTTTTAATTGACACATAAGACATGTTCATACATTTTTGGATATACAGTGTGATATTTCAAAAAATATGTAATGACCAAGTAAGGTATATGGAATATCCATTGACCTTGAACATTTATCATTTGCTTCTACTAGCTATTTTGAAATGTATGATTAATTGTTGTCAACCATAGTTAAACCCTACTGTGGTAGAGAACATTATAAGTTGTTCCTCCTATGAGTCTTTACACCCTGTACCTATTAATCATCTTCTCTCCATTTTTCCTTCCCCCCCAATACTTCCTAGCTTCTGGTAAATATTAATCTACTCTCAACTTCTATGACATTAACTCTTTGACCTCCAGATATGAGTGAGACCAAATGGTGTTTTTCTTTCCATGCCTGACTTATTTCACTTACTATAACATCCTCCAGCTCTATCCATATTGTGAAAAAATGGAAAATGACAGAATTTAATTTTATATGGTTGGATAATGTTCCATTATGAATGTGCACCACATTTTCCTTATCTATTCATCCATCAGACACCTCAGTTTGTTTCACACTTGGCTATTGTGAATAGTGAGGTAATAAACATGGGAGTGCAGATATCTCTTTGACATACTGATATTATTTCCTTTGGACATATACCCACTGGTGGGATTATTAGATCATATTGTTGTAAAAATTAATATATTTTTTCACTTACTGTTTACATTCATTTTCAGAGATTATTGGCATTGCTTGTTCTAAAGCCTCATCTATATAAAAAGTAGACTAGGAAACTGGTCGACCTTGGTCTTTGCTCTTGTCTCTGTCAAAGGAATAAATAAAGTGGGATAATATAACATAATAAATCAAAGTGCAGCACATATTCTTTAACTATATATTATTTTTGTTTATTTCCACTCTTCCACAAATATTTTAGGCGGATCAGTGCATAGTTAGTACATTATTAGTCAGTAAGTCTAAATACATATAGCTGTTGGAGAGATCACAGATTTGAGAATGCCTGTGGGATTCTATGTACAACCATTTGAGATTCAAAGATTGTTTAATACATTACTTAAACTAGCTTTGAAACTGGCTTTCTCACTACCTGTGCCATTAAACCATAGACTGAAACCAACCATGGGCTGAAACCAACTTTACTGGTATGTTACAGGGAAACAGGAGTTTAGTGCATTGGCCCTCTAAGTACATCTGCAAGGAAGCAAATTAAATGATGGGAAAAACTGACTTGATAGTGTTTCCACAGGAATACCTGGGAGGACACACAGATATTCCTTAGTTTTTTTTTCATTCTCTCTTTTCTACTTCTATATATATTTGGCTACTTTTTAAAAAATTATGGTTCATTATTGGCTAATGAAGAAGTAGACTCAGAGTGTGAAGAGTTAACTGAGAGTTCACCCAGTGCAAAAGTGGGATAAGGATTCTGTTAGTCTCATTCTCTTCCCAATCACATTTATGTTGTTTATGGACACAATTTACTAAGAGATATATGAACTTTAAGGAATCATTACTGTTGCATGGGCAAATTGAATGGGACTGTTTGTATCAGTGTGTGTGTGTGTGTGTGTGTGTGTGTTTGCCTTTTTTAGGATTCCATGAAGTCAAAATTATTTTCATAATAATACTGAAAGCCTTTTTTTTCTGTTTCCATTGTACTGATAGTTGCACTAGTGGGTAAATCTGTTGATGTTTTAGCATGAATTAAGACAGACGCTAAACTACTACTAGTCATTACAGTCTTGTTTACCACTCTACTCACAGGGAAAAAACACATTAGCTAAATGCCAGATTCACTTAGGAGTGTCCTTTGTGAACAATAAAAAACATTAATATCACTAATGGTAAACATAAGTATATATCATTTTAATATCCACAGTGATGAGAGGAATGTATGAAGCATATGTATTGCATCTCTCAGTGCAATGTTTGTATTGAAAAAAAGCACTCATGTGATTATTGGAATTTAGAGCTTATATTCCATTGTAACTTGAAATAAAAATTTTGTTTCTCTTAAATTTTCTTTGGAAAGTATACCAATTTCCTCTGGAATATGTTAATTATGATGAAATGTAATTTTTTAAAAATATTTTTTAAAATTCTGTTTATTCTTAACATGCCAAATAACCCCCATAAATAAATTCTCTTTAGGAGTCTTTAATGATTTTAAAAGTGTCCTGAAGTCAAGAGTTATAAACCACTGCCCTCGGTTGACTTTTTATGAATAGGATCCCCTTTGTCTGTACAGTAAGTTCTTTGTTACTTCAAAGGTATTACATTTCTGTGATTTTAAGATTCTGCAATTTTAAGATTTTTGAGATTTGTTTTATTTTATTTTTTACAAGAGACTGTATAGGGGGAAGCATGGCTTATGGCCTAATTAGACACCTTTTAGTAGTTAGCTATTTGAACTATGTGAGTGAGCTCCCAATAAGTGAGCCAAATAAAGCCAGTATTCATTCTTTCATTTTCTTTTTTTTAATATACCTACTAAGTTTGTTAGTTCAAATACCTACTAAGTTTGTTCACTTTGCGAAATATGATGCTGGTCACTGGAGAGGAAACATAGAGAACCATAATTGGAGGCATTAGTCTGTAATCTCCATGAAAGCAAGAACACGGTCTTGTCTACCCAGGGAGGCAGCAGGGTAGGTCACCCGGATGTCTGTAAACATTGGTCCTCATTGGTCACTTGTTTCTTCCTCTTGGCAGGCTGCTTACCCTCTTTGAACTTTTTCTTCATTTGAGATATGGTTAAAAAAAAAAAGATACATGCCAGTTTAGATTATTTTGATGATTAGAGGCTTTATATTATGAAGTACATCAGCATTTTTCTGGAATGTCTTAGCAGGTTACCTAAAGGACTTTATTTTATAGCAACCTGTTAATTCAAGGAACATATAAACAAGTACATCTGAGAATGGCAAATTCTATATGATATGTAAAATAATTTTTGAAAAAAGTTTAAAATTTATTTTTAATGACCAAAAACTAATCAGTGTCAGAATTAATTTGTTTATTAAGAGAACTGAGTTCCATGAAAATGCATGCATTTAAATAGTTATTAGATTTGTTATATTAGATTTTGTTAACTATAAACAGAGTTGCATTTTGCTATAATCATTCAGTTTGTCTTAACTTTTGTTAATTTCCTTTTAATAAAATCCCTATTATAGGAGAAAATAAAATTGATGAAAATTCCATGTAAAACCTATGTAAAAAACTGGTATGTTTTTTAACTCACAGTAATGTCAATTTTTTTGACTCACAGTAAGTTAAACAAAATATAAGTTTTCAGGGATAATTTCCTTTCAGATATAAATGAACATGATTTTTAGCTTATTTATAAACTTATTTAATGACAAGTTAAAAATAATGTTTCACTATATTGAAAGGAAACATTTTATTATGATAAGCTTGTTTCATTCCCATTTAATATTTATTTGCATAGTATAAATTCATTATAAAATTAGAATTTCATAAAATGTAAAAATTATTGTTTTAGTCTGCACACTCTTAAAATCTTTACAGGAAGGTGGATGTGCCTTTGGCAAGAGGTTATTTTCATGCAGTTCTGTTTGTTCAAATTATAGAACATGAATTTTCCTTCCTTAAAAATAGATTGCCACTTGCTTAGTGATTCTATCTAGAGTCTGTGGTATAGTGATGCTTGACTGCTGGTACTTATCCAGATGAGGTGTGGTGTATGGGTTTAAGTACTGTGTCCACAAACCAGATCCCCAGATCCAAATATATCATAGCATTAAAAATATTTGTACTTATCCACAAAGAAATACCACTGTGACTTAACTTGTGATTCAGTAATATGAAAAAAAGTAGAGACTCTTCCTTGAATTGGTACATATTGATATTTATTTTTAAATGTGGAATCTAGAGATAGAGCAGCACAATGATTGCTGTTTACAGAAGCAGAGGACGGGGAGCCTGTGGTTTTTGCTAGATGTATATGTGGGAAGTAGATTATTTTTACTTTTCTCTTTGTTCATCAACTGCTCTGCCAGTCACATTTGCATGGTTACTACTGTAACAGGCACCCGTTGTCATGGCAGCACGGAACAAAAATGATATCCATTGTTTCATGAGGTGAGCATTCCCAAGTGATCCAGGTGTAGGCGGATCTGTGGGCTTTTGCTCTGTGTAGCTCACAGAGTGGCTACATCTGTATTGACAAGTACAGGGGACTGTGGGACTTGTGCAAGGTTGCTCTTTCCTATGACCTGGTGTACTTTATACATTCATGAGACTACCAGGATTCAGCTCCAATTCCATCAGTAACCTTGTAACCATACACTGATGTACATCCAGAAAAACTCATGTACAAGGATTTTCCACTATGAGTGATTAGCTGATAAACAAACAAACCTATGTGGTTTTGCATCTCCACATGCCTTAGGTGGTGCTGAAGAGAGGATCGTGTTTTTGATTTTTGTCTTTGTCTTTTTTTTTTTTTTTTACTTTAAACAAATTTTTATTACACAAAGGTTGTCACATAATTGGATATTTCTCTACTTTGTACACGATTATTCTCCACAGAAAGGCTGCTTCTGAACTTCTCATCTGGTGATGGCAAGCACTAAAATCCTGATTTTAGCAGAATAGTAGTAGAAATGCCTCAATGATTTAAGTTGAAAGCAGTACATTGGTACATGGCTCTTCCACCCAGTATCAGGAATGTACAAATGTCTTTATTCAAAAATACAAAATAAATTATTTGTAGGCATGGACAATGACAGCAGTAAACCATTATATACTGTCAACTGAAACCAGTAACTGATGGTGATAGTGATTTTCTTAAACATCAACCAGCCTTTTCTTCAGTCATTCTCTTCAACTGACTTCTCTGAAGTTATTGGTGAGGAACCCTGCCTTGAGCTTCCTGTCACAGTTCATTAATAATGGTAAAGCACTATTCTGAGAATTAGAACATGCCACCACCCATACCACCTCCCATTCCACCCATTCCACCCATTGCAGGGTCCTTTTCTTCTTTAGGAATTTCTGTGACTACGACTTCTGCTGTAGTTAACAGAGAAGCAACTCCAGCAGCATCCAATAAGGCAGTTCTTACAACCTTTGTTGGATCAATGATTCCTTTTTCTACCATATTCACAAAATCTCCAAGCATAGCATCATAGCCAACTTCTGAGGAACTCTGCAGAATTTTCTCCACTATTAAAGAGTCTTCAACACCTGCATTCTTAGCAATAGTCATTGCAGGAATTTTGAGTGTTCTTTTAATGATTTCTATACCAATTTTCTGATCTTCATTAGCTGGAGTTAGTGAGTCCAAGGCTGGAATGCACCGAAGCAGAGCACAGCCCCCACCCAGAACAATGCCTTCTTCAACGGCAGCTCTCGTAGCATTGAGGGCATCTGTAACTCTGTCTTTCTTTTCATTCACTTGTCCCACCAACCTTGAGCACAGCTACTCCATCTGAAAGTTTTGCCAGTCGTTCATTCAGTTTTTCCTTTTCATATTCACTATTTGTCATTTCTAATTGCTCTGTAATTTCTTGAATATGCTTTTCAATTTGAGCTTTATCACCTTTTCCTTTCAAAAGCATGGCATCATCTTTGGTGACAATGACCTCTCCAACTTTTCCTAAATCATGAGGCTGAACATCTTCAATATTTAGGGTCAAACCCTCCTCACCAAACACTGCACCACCAGTAGCAATAGCCATATCTTTAAGTTGGTTCTTTCTGTTGTCACCAAAACCTGGAGCTTTAACTGCCACAACCTGAAGACCAACTTTCAGCCTATTCAAAACAAGTGTACTTAGAACTTCTCCATCAACATCTTCAGCAATTATGACCAACGGTTTACGGTGAGCATTGGCAATTTCAAGAGCAGGTACAATGGACTGGACGCTAGAAATTTTCTTTTCACTCAACAGAACATAAGCATCCTGGAATTCACATTTCTGACCTTTTGATGTATTAATAAAGTACGGAGAGATATAACCTCTATCAAACTTCATGCCTTCAATAATTTCTAATTCATCCTCAAGTGTTTTTCCATCCTTTACTGTAATCACACCCTTTCTTCCAACCTTTTTCATTGCATCAGAAATAATGTTGCCAATTTCTTTGTCTCCATTTGCAGAAATGGTAGCAACCTGAGCAATTTCTTCAGGAGTTGTCACAGGTTTAGACTGCTTCTTGAGTTCAGCAATTACAGCATCAACAGCTAACATCACACCTCTCCTGATTTCCACAGGATTAGCACCCTTGCTAATCTTCTCGAAGCCTTCTTTGGCAATAGAATGTGCCAGTACAGTAGCAGTGGTGGTGCCATCCCCGGCCTCTTCATTTGTATTATTGGCAACATCTTGAACAAGTTTAGCTCTAATATTTTTGTATTTATCCTTTAAATCAATTGACTTTGCAACAGTCACACCATCTTTTGTTACTTTGGGACTTCCCCAACTCTGTTCAATAATTACCGTTCTTCCCTTTGGCCCCATTGTAACAGCTACAGCGTCGGCTAAAAGGTCTACACCTTGAAGCATTAAGGCTCGGGCATCTGCACCAAATTTTACATCTTTGGCATAAGCCGGAGTGAGATGAGGAGCCAGTGCCCTAAACACTGGTCTCATCTGGCGAAGGACTGTGGGTAGTCGAAGCACGCGGCAAAGCAGACCGTCTGCGGCGAGTGAGGGGGGCTTTGTCTTTTTGAAATAATTAAGATAACTGTTGAAAAAGTAACTGTTTTCTGCGTACCAAATTCTTAAAACCAAATGAGATGTCCAATGAGGTAACTTGGATTCAAAGGAGTTTTCCAGAAAACTGCTAATTAGAGAGAAGAATTTCCTTTTGTTATTTCTGTTACACCTGCTTGTTGTGTTTTTATCAGATGCCTTTTCATGCAAGGCATTATGTTGGACTCTCCTCAAGATATGAGAATTCATAATCCATGGTTGGTGAAATTAAACCCACACAAAAAAGCTAACTAAGTGATAAGCATAGGCAGTTCCATTGATTACCCTGTTTATTTATTTTTAACTGTTTTTTGCTCCATTTGCTGGAATCTACTTTAAAAAAAAATCTATGCCTTAGATGGGCACGGTGGTGCATGCCTGTAATCCCAGATGCTTGGGAGGCTGAGGCAGGAGGATCATGAGTTCAAAGCCAGCCTCAGCAAAAACGAGACACTAAGGAACTCAGTGAGACCCTGTCTTTAAATAAAATACAAAATAGAGGTGGGGATGTGGCTCAGTGGTTGGGTGCCCCTGAGTTCTATCCCTGATGTGCCCCCCAAAACAAACAAAAAATCTATGCCTTGATATACCACCATCATTTTGTTAGTCTGACCCTTCCCCATGAAAGATGGTGCTTTGGAAAAACTTTGTAGATAGGCAAAGATAATGTGACTTCCAACTTTCACTAGATTTTATTCAGTAAAATACACATTTATTGAATGCTTAGTATATGCTAGGTTTTGGATGAATTGTTAGATTCTACCAATTACATATTTTATCAAGTACTTAAATTTTTAAAAGTACAACTTTCTTTCTGAAGGTGTAATTTTTTTTTCAGGTAAATGTTTAACATATTTTATAATGAATTTTACTTTTTCTATTTCCTCGTTTTTTAACTGATGCATTATAGTTGTACATATTGATGGGATTTGTTAGATACTCATATATGCACAATATAACAATATAACTTGGCCAATATGACTCCCCAACATTTCTCCTCTTCTCCCTGTCTCCCACCCCTTCGTCCCTTTCCCTACTGGTCTCCCTTTGATTTTTAGAAGATCCATCCCCACCTTTGTTTTCCTTTTTCCTCTCTAGCTTTTGCCTATGAGAGAAAACATGCCACCCTTAACCTTCTGAGTTTAACTTATTTTGCTTAACTAGCCCTCTCGTTCCATCTGTTTTCCTGCAACTGCCATAATTTTTCTTTATGACTGAATATTTTCCATTTTGTGTATATATACCAGATTTTCATTATCTATTCATCCATTGATGGACACCTAGGCTGATTCCATAGTTTGTTGGGAATTGTGCTCTGAAGGTGCAGTTTTTAACAGTAAAAACAAATTGGGAAAAGAAATGTGTAGAATCTTAATATACTGACTTAGCAAACTGGAAATACACTTACTTACGTAAACCTCCAGGTATATACACTCACTCAGACCTTAAGGAGGCACAGGAAAACACAGGCACAAAAAATATGCAGGTTTATCTAATTTTAACCAACATAATGAAAAACGTTTCGATAATGGAAATTTGCTGTTAACAAGAACATCCTCATTTTGTTCTATCTTCATCTTCCAAGTATGTTTTGCTTTAGTTTTCATTTTTTTTTTTAAATTTTCACCCGACTCCCACTCTCTTGCCTTCTCCTTTTCTTCCAGTTCTACAGGAGAAAATGAGAAAACTTGCAGATATAACTATAGTTAAATTTTTCTTGTGGGCACAATGCTCACAATCATCTTTTGCTCTGCCTGCCTGCCTCCACGTTCCCTTACTCCTGGCACCATTAATCTTGTGCTGTACAAAGTGTGATCCAGGGATGCATGCCACTTCACACCAGTCCAGGATAAGATAAATACTCATATTGCAAGTAAGCATTCAGAAACTTCAATACCAATTTGGTAGAGCAATTTTTGTTGACGGAGTCTATTTTTTTTTTTTTTTTTTTTTTTAGTGTTTTGTATTGTTGAACATTTTATTTCTCTATTTTTTTTTTTTTTTTTTTTTTTTTAGTTTTTTGTATTGTTGAACATTTTATTTCTCTATTTTTTTTTTTTTTTTGGTACTAGGGATTGAACTCAGGGACACTCTACCACTGAGGCACATCAACAGCCCTATTTTGAATATTATTTAGAGACAGGGTCTCAGTGAGTTGCTTAGCTCCTTGCTTTTTGCTGAGGCTGGCTTTGCACTTGTGATTCTCCTGTCTTGGTCTCCTGAGCCACTGGGATTATAGACTTGCACCACTGCACCTGGCCTCATTGCTCTAATTTTTACTGATTAATTTGTTAAAACAAATTAATAGTCCCACGGAGAAGCATCAGTCTAACATACTGTGTCTACAGATTTCTTACCTTTATGCTTTTACCTGTTTTCTACCTAATACTTAATACTCAACTGTAAACTTGTCCTTCCTGAGTTTTTCCTTGAACGCCCACACTGAAGTTCTTTGTGTTTCTACTAAACCCCATACAACCATATTTACTGAATGTAGTATAATTTAACATTCAGTACAAATGTACTTGCTTTTTTGGCAGTATTGCCTGGGAGACTCCAACTGACAGATATAGTCGGGATAGATAAATGCATGGACCTCAAAGTCATGTTCATCTGGGTTTGAATCCTGAGTTCTGTCCTTTAAGAGTTGAGAGTCTTGGGGGAGTCAACTAGCCTATTTGCACCTTAGTTTCCTTGTTTATCAAATGGGGCTGTCTGTAGAACCTATTTCTTAAGGTTACAATGAAAATTAAAAGAAACAATACATGTGATGCTTTAAGTATATGGTTTCTGTGCATACTCAGCACTTGATATATGGCCACTATATTTTCCATTATTAATATTAATGGCACAGTTAGTATATTTTATTTTCATTTGAGCAGTTTTTAATTGAAAGTTGTATATAAGATGCATTTATTCATACTCATCTCAATGATTTCTTCCTTATATCTGCTCTTTCCCTTTCCTATTTGGTGAGATTTGGCTTTCCATTCAAGGATCTTCTTGCATCTTTGTCCAGTTTTAGCCTGGTGACAACCACCTTGCTGGGATGAATGAATACATGGATGGCTGTACCATTAACCTTTTCCCACTACACCTATTCAATATTCATGCCATATTTCTTCCTGTAAACCTGGACTACTTGCCAATCTGCTGACCTTTATAGTGTCCTCCAACAACATAAATTTTACCATCCTTTCAGATGGGCAGGGATGAAGCCTTGTACTTCTGCTTCAGCTCTTTAGACAAGGGGGAAGATCTATCTTCCTGCAAGTGTTAGGAGGTGTATTGAAATGTCTCCGTTGGCTCTTGCTTTTTTCATAAGTCACAAAGCCATTGAACTTTATTTTGGTTGTTGCTATTTTGGTGATGGCCACAAAGGGAAGAGCTAATATATTTTATTACCTTTATTCAGGCATTGCCTGAAGTTAGTTGTTTAATCACATTGTCTTGAGGAAAAAGAAGCTATAAAGAAACTAACCCAATTACTTGATTGACTGATTTTTGAAAACACAGCTAGAATAGGTAGTGTGCATATAGTTTGAAAGATATAGTTTCTGCAGATTTCTAATGGGTCTTGTTGAGCCAACTCCTTAGAGCATGGGTGCCCTCATTTAGACACTACAAGAAAATCATGAATCACTTATAAGACACTTTTTTCCTATAGGCAAAACTGGGACTACCAAAGGAAAATTGGATTAAGAAAAATAAATTTCAGAAGGAAATATATCTAAAAATATTCCACTGGGCTCCTCCACCCCAATTGGCTGAAACACCTGGATTTTTATAAGTATAATTTTAGCTAGAGAAACACTGAAAAGATACATTTTACTAAAAGATAAAAGAATGATTTTTCTGGAAAAATCATGTGGAAGAGCAATTTTGCAAAAATATTTATTTGTTTTAAAGAATAAGATGTAAATTCAAGTACTGCCATGCTGGTGACTAAAATTCACAATTGCTTAAGTGACAAAATTTATACTCAAATTTCCTTCTTTGTAGGATAATTAACAGATAACAGAGGCACAAAGATACGAACTACAGTGCTTACTCTTGTAATAATTAAATGAAATGATTGTTTTAATGTGTGCACTAAACAAGTATATTAAAACCATATTATGGATTCATAGCTATGTAGGATGTGCTTTATTAGGCTTTAAAAAATAGGTAAGCCATCTTAAATGGAAGCAGGGATATGTTCACTATATAGCTAAAACAACTGCCAACCAAAATGGTACTGAATTTAAGGAAGTGATTATAGTTTTGTGGTGAATTCATTTCTGGTGTATTGAATAGGAATTCAGAGGAAGACTATTAAAAATTCTAAGAAGAGTTAACATGATTTAAGAGGCAGACAAGCCCCTTGCTAGACCATGGCAATTATATAAGGACAGAATTTAGTACAGTTGGAGGATAAGATAAACAAAGTAAGATTATTTGAGACCTCACAGTCTTATTCTATATCTCTCCACTGTGCACACGCGCGCGCGCACGCACACACACACACACACACACACTCAACATGTGAGCATTAACATTTTGTAGAAGAGAAGTTGAGCTGAACACACAAATTCATTTTTAATGATAATGTCTGTTAGACATAAATGTCACAACAGTTGGTCAGACAAATGGTAAAATCATCACAGACTGTTGAGTGATTCAAAAGTAGATCACAGAAAGAACTTTACAGTGTACTGTAGGAAACAATGTAATGTTGGTGAAGCAAAACAAACAAACAACAACAACAAAAAAACCTGACATCAGTCTTTTCCACTGCTAACTTTTAATATTTTCATGTAGTTCAAAGTTAGAAATTTACAGCATTTATAAAATTATTAAAGGTTAGGACCTAAATGCTAAAGCTATTGTTTAACATCAATATATTTACTATACATGGCTTTTGCTAGTTTGGGCCTGAAATACTCCATAAAGACCCATGTGTTGAAGGGTTGGTCCTCAGCTTGGTACTTTTGGAAAGTGGTGAAACCTTTAGGAGATGGGCCCTAGTGGTGGGAATTTAGGTCATTGGGGTTGTGCCATTGAAGGGGATATTAGGACTCAGTTACTTCTTCTTTCTCTCTTTTGCTTCCTGGTCCTGAGGAGAGTGGTTTTGCTTTACCACATTCTCTTGCTATAATATGCCACCACAGGCTCAAAGCAGTAGGTTCAACAGACAGTGGACTAAAACCTCTAAAACTATGAACCAAAATAAACCTTTTATTTTTATAAATTGATTATTCCTGGTATTTGTCATAGTGATGAAAAATAGACTAACACAGCTTTTTTGTAGAAACAATACAAATTAGCTATGTGTCCTAGTCCTTTCTCCACCACCATTAAATCAACAATAAAGGAGATTAGGGTTCAGAGCTGTTGTAAAAAATTTGGCAGATTTTGTCCTTAAGAGTTAAATTCTAAACCCATACATTTAATGTAATAGATCTTGTTGTTTTGATCAAAATTTTAAAAGATTTTTCTTCATTTACAGATGTCAAATATAATTGAACATAAACATATGGTGATGGAAAAATTTTATAAAGATTCTTTGGTAATTATTATTAATGTTTATTTAAAAAGGCAGAATTGGGTAAGAAGCTGCTTTTAGAAAAGTTATTTTTTTATGTTCTCCCTGACCTTAAATAGTTGTCAATCAGATGCAGTGTCTTTTATAATTTGATTTCTCTTTTATTGAAAAGCCATGGTACTACATGAAATGAATGAATCATTTGAGGATAAGAGGCTAAATAAATTTTCCTAATAGTTTTAAATTTATGCTTTTGTTTTTCATTCCATATGCTCTTCTAACCTATAGTGATTTGCTTGGGAAACCCTGGCTCACCCTGTGTAGGCTCATGTCAAACAAATGCACTTTAATCAATGGTGGTGACTTATTGTTCCCTGGAGTGGTTATTTAATTTTGCAAACTTCAAAAACTGGGCAAATGACCTTTCTCTGTTTTCTAGATGTAAATGAATTTTTTATCAAAGCCATCCTTTGAGAACAGTAACTGTGACCTTTTGGTTAGGTTTATGGCCCTATAGATGAGCTGCTTGGAAACAATCTCTTATTACTTCTAAACAAGCAATGTACCCTCTTAAGCTGTCCAAATGCTCATTTGCTCATTGACCACCGCTGCCATATATGATAAGCTTTACTTAAGCTTTGTAGAAAATTGGGCTATAATAGCTTCTCTTCCAGTCCCTGCTCTTCAAAGCATGAAATTTGATACAAAATTTATTTACATTCAGAAAACAGAGAGGAAGGTGATTTGCCCCATTTTTGCAGTTTGCTGTCGTAGCAAGAGAAAGGTAAATGACCACTTCATTTTCTTTGAAAAGTATGAAGGTGAGGAGGTGCTGGCCATAGGGAACTTTGGCCTTGTTGTCCTGTCCACTGATGAGCTGTAGTAGATGTTCAATCATTGTTCATTGAGTTTTAATGTAAGATCATTCCAAAGTAGGCTAAATTTTGGCACTCTATTTCTGTGTCACTTTCTAAGTAGCTGGCCTCCCACAGGAACCAGCCCCATGGGAGCTGCAAAAACACAGAAAGAGGAGAGAAGCATGGGAATTAAATATCCAAAGAATAAAAGTGTCAGTGTCTGTGTCTAGACATCTTTCGAATTATGAGCACAGATAGAATCTTTGGTCTCAAACATTCAACAGAATGTGCTAGGGGAAAATTGTGGAATTTTGGAAACAAACAGATCTGTGCCTATAGCCTAACTCTTTTACTTACTAATATTCTACCCTGGGCAGGTTACTTAACCTCTCTGAGGTTCAGTTATTCTTATAAGATGGATGTATTGCCTTTTATTTTGGAATCTTGTTATCTATGGGTGCTTCAACAATATCAGAGTTTCAATTTTTTTTCCAGGTTTGCTTTAGTCAGACTTCCAATACTGTAACAAATACCTGAAGCTTATAAGAGAAAACGTTTATTTGGACTCACAGGTTTAGTGAGTTTTAGTCCATGGCCAGTTGGTCTTTTGCTTTTTGGGTTATGGTAAAGCAGTACATCATGGATATTGCATGGCGAGGAAGGGTCTGGAGTCCCAATATCCCCTTTAAGGGTCCACCCTTATTGGTCTAAGACCTCCACTAGGCCCATCTCCTAAAGGTTCTACCTCCTCCCAATAGTGCCATGCTGGGGACTAAGTCATTGACACATGAGTCTTTGAGGCCACTCAGAGTCAAATTACAGCAGGTGTCTCCTAGATGCTTGCATCAGGGCTGGAAGGTATACAACATTTTCATTAATCTTCCTACCAACTATGCAATGCAGATTGTACCATTTCCTTTATACAACAATTAAATGGAGAGATAGTATATAGAGGAATCTGTACAAGATTGTGGAGCTAAGTGTGAGAGCAGAGAATTGACTTTAAATTTACTTAATTTGTAGGTTTATTTTACCCTGATTCATAAAGATTTATTTTTCTTTTCATTCCCCAAATGGAATTACACAGTTTTCTAATTAATCTGTTTATCCTCTTCTGAAAGGTGGCAGTTCCTAAAACTCAAAGTATTTTAATGGTTTTTATTATTGCTCACTTATTCAGAATCTACCACCACATAGGCAATGGTTTTAGTTTTCATTATTGGGCCTAAGATCTTTCCAATAGGTTTCTTCTAAATTATTTCAGATTAGCTACTAAAATACTGAAGTCCAATGCAATACACTTTTAGGTCAGTGAGATTTTGAATAATCCTACCTGAGGAAGAAAGCAAGATGTTACCTCCTGGATAAGTAAAAGTACAATAGTGTCTTGTCTTTTCTGAACAGAGTCAAAATCCTGCTGGCCATAAGTCTACATGTGATGTCAGTGGGAACTTTGAATACTCAGGGTGGAGATGCCTAACTTGGATGATCTGACTCTGGAGCTATTAGCAGAAGCTGGAAATGCTTACAGCCATGGATGAGTCAGAAGGCTGTGAACCCTGGACTTATTCTGACAGTTGTATTTAATTGAAGGATTCTGGCAAGTCAGCTATTCAGACAGCACCAGCTCTATGGAAATCTTCTGACTTTCCCAAGTTTTATTTTATTTCTTACTCAGCTTCTTGGATTTTGTTTCTGTTTTCCATTTTCAGATTTATAATCGCTTAGATACAAATTGTTGTGGATTCAGACCACGCAAGGAAGATGCCTGTGTACAGAATGGATTGAGGCCAAATTGTGATGACCAAAATTCTGCGACTCTAGCACACATTATCCAGCGAAAGCATGACCCAAGGCATTTAGTCTTTATAGACAATAAGGGTTTCTTCGACAGAAGTGAAGATAACTTAAACTTCAAATTGTTAGAAGGCATCAAAGAGTAAGTTTGGTGTGGGAATAACATCCTCTGGATATGGCATTTATGTTAAGTAAGTGGTAAGGTTATGAGAAAACTCACACCATATGTCTGATAGCTTTAACCCTTGAAAGGAACTGTGAATGTGAATCTGGGAGTGGTGATGTGGAGAAAGGACGGATGTCTAGAGTGCATTGGGGCATCAATTAACAACCTGCACGGTTGTGTTGCTTGGTCCTCATTATGAAAATCCACATGGGTTAAGTTGGGAGACTGCAGGATGCCTGGAATAAGAAATGGCCAAGGAGGAATAAGCAGGTGGCAGAGGCTGTGTTATTAGGGCATGGAACAGGACATGGTGGGAACTAACAGATATGCAGATATTGCCATAGCAGGATGTCTAGATTCATAATAAACTCAAGTGAGTTTTATGAAGGCTGTGTAAAATTAAAGCCAATATGGTGTGTAAGGTACAATATCCAAGGGACAGCTGGATATTTAAGTTTAGGTAGGAAGCTTTTTTGGGGGTGGGGGGAGTTGGTACCAGGGATTAAACCCAGGGGTGCTTAACCACTGAGCAACCTCCCCAGTCCTTTTTATTTTTGATTTTGAGACAGGGTCTTGCTAAGTTGCTCAGGGCCTTGCTAAATTGCTAATGCTGGCTTTGATCGGGTAGGACGGTTTTGGGGACACTTGAAAATCCTTTAAATAGACAAAGATTTTGGAGGAAAGTGTTTGACATCTAAAAGGGAGGGCTGATGAGAACCCGATAAGGGAACAAGTATAGCTATACTCAGGAATGACCAAGAATTTAGGGGAGACCTCAAAAATCTGGTGACATTTGGCAGGACTTAGAAAGAATGCAGGGTAGAGTGGGGACATATGTGGAACTAGAGAAAATGAATTCTGCTTTGCAGAAGTTAAAGTTAAAATACAATAGGAAGGTGGGTATAAGCAACACATATAATACACACGTGTGAAAATGTCACAATAAAACCCATTATTTTCTAGAATTATTATGCACTATTCATTGTAAGTAACAACATGATGGGCGCTTATGGAATACTTGATCTTACATTTATTTGAAAACAAGGAATTGACACACTTAATAGTGGCAGGAACCAGCTATAAAGTTTGAGCTATTCAACCCTAGAATGGAAACTGACTATATTTCAAGGTGATGAGAGATTTCAAAGAGAACCATCTTCTCTTTGCTTCCTACCTTGGTCTAAAATCAGATTGACTAGGACACTGAGGTAAGTTGGAGACTTACAAATACAATGATACTTTTAATACAATAGTAATTCAGTGAAGTTAAGTGACTGCTGGAAAGCATACCAGCAAGTCTAAAATTGAGTTAAGCCTGTCAAAGTGGCACATGACTGAATCCCAGCTATTCTAGATGCGGAGGCCGGAGGATATTAAGTCTGAGGCCAGCCTGGGTCACAGTGAGATATCACCTAAAAAAAAAAAAAAAGAATATAGTTGAAGTTAAAACTCAGTTCTTCCAAATCCAAGCCCAATATTTTTTTCTTGTAATAATATGTGGTGTTCATGCTTGGTTACTATTACTTTTCTCAATAAAGGTTAAATGGAGCTCACTGATAGAGAGCTTGCCTACCATACATGAGACCCTGGGTTCAATCACCAGCACTGCAGAAAACAAAAGCCGAAATAAAACAAAACAAAAACACCTAAAATTTCTTGTTTGTAATACTCTGAAGCATATTTTGATTATTCTTCCTGAACTCTAATACTTAGGTAATGTGGATTTTATATACTTTAAAAATTAAAAGATTTTATATACTTTAAAGTTTAAAAAGTGAGTTTTGTGAGACCAATTTCATGAGGTTTTGCCATGTTACCTATCCTATTGACTATTGATACTTGTTCTTCAAATTATTTTATTTTTTATTTTATTTTTTTGCACCAGGATATGAACTCAGGGGCACTTAACCATGGAACCATATTCCCAGCCTTTTAAAAATTTTGTATTTTGAAACAGGGTCTTGCTAATTTGTCTAGGACCTCCCTAAGTTGCTGAGGCTGACTTTGAACTTGCGATCCTCCTGCCTCAGCATCCTGAGCTTCTGGGATCACAGGCATGGGACACCTTGCCCAGCTTCATGTTCTGTTTTTGTATTGAAGGTAGAATATATGACAGATTCTATTTTTTGAGTGTCTAAACTAAGGAAATTTTATGTATAGGAAAATTTACATTCCTAAGACATCACTTACTTAATTGATATTACAGGACCTAAAATTTCTTCTCAGAATTAAAAGTTCTTGCAGAATACACTCCATCCACTTTAAACATTCATGTAGATATAATAGTCTAATTTGTTTTTTTTCACAGAAAATTTAACTTCAAGTGTATTGTGAGGAGCATTGGGTTTAAAGCTAAATCTTTGAAATATAATTCATGCATTGAGAAGTTAAATGAAGACTTCACTAATTCCAGATTTATGCATTGAATATTCCTGTTAATCAGTGTAATGCAAAGACCAGTGATATTTTTGTTTTCCTTTATGAAGAGGATTAGTCACTAAAGAGACTTACGGTTTTAACAGTTTCATCTCATATATTCTGCCACAACTAAATTAGTTGAAGGACTATAGAATTTATAAATGGATTATTAATACTTCATAGAGTAAAAAGGCTACTCAATTAATATTGTAGTCCACTAGATCATATAATAAATGTCTCAGGAAACTCAGAGCATCTTGTAAGCATTGTTTCATTCATTCCACATGTCTCAGAATTATTAAGCATGCTTAGCTCTGGGGCCTTTGGTTTTCAAGTAGGATTAGAATGGCTAGAGCCCATAGATCCCTTGCATCCATACTTCCCATGTGCCATTCCTCCTGTGACTCATCAAAAAGAGGTGGCCAGGCATGATGGTATATGCCTGAAATCCCAGCACCTGAGGCAGGAGTATCGCCAATTCAAAGTCAGCCCCAGCAACTTAGTAAGAAAAGGAAAGGGCTGAGGATGTGGCTCAGTGGTTAAGTGCCCTGAGTTCAATCTCTGATATTAAAAAAAAAAAAAAAATGGAAGAGGTCCTTAGAAGGTCTGAAATTTCTGGCAGTGTGTACTCTTTAAGCGAGTAAGTATTCTTGCTATAGTTTTAAAGGTACAACTGAATTTATTTTAAAATTACTATTAACCCTAATATTTTATAATACTTTTGTCAACATTTTAGTGAAAGCTGGGAAAGACCAAATGGGATTTTGTACCCTCTTAAGGTAATGCAACAAAGACCCTACCAAGCTGGCCTTAGGTTTACCCAGAGAGATGTCTTATGCAGTGACTTGGCTCTAAAACTTGTGTCACTAAATTTATTTGAAAAACATTTGTGCAAGTCAGCTTTCCATGACGGTAGTAAATACCAGAGATAATCAATTTATTAAAATGAAAATTTTCTTTTGGTGTATAGTTTTGTAGCTTTCAATCGATAACCAATTGGCTCTGTAGTTTTGGGTCTGTGGTAGCCCAGTATGTCATGGTGGGAGTGCATGGAAGAGTAGTCCCATTTACCTCATGGCTAAGAATCTGAAGAGAGAGGAAAAGGAAGCGGGCAGGACCCCACTATCTCCTTCAAGGTAGCAATCTAAAACCTCCCACTAGGCCCACCTTTTAAAGGTTTTACTATCTCCCAATAGTACTACCCTGAGGACCAAGCTCTTAACATATGGGTCTCTTAGGGGACATTCTAGATCAAAACTGTGTCCAACTTTAACACTCCACTAAATATAATCCTCCCAGTAATCCCAAATGTATGTAGTAAAATGAGAAAATTTCCTCTCTCAGTTGTATAACTTCTACTCTTTGAGAACACTTTACTGAAACTGTCAGCACTTTGCTTCTCACATTTTCATACATAAAATCTCACCTTGTCACTTGTGAGGATGCTGATGAAATGGAGCTCAAGACTGAAGAAAGTATTTTTGCTTGTCTCAAGGAAACCTAATTCTGTGCCACTCTTTGCCTACATACAAATGACCTTAAATAAGACATTAGTATGTCAGGTTCTCAATGGGTTAGGAAATTCAGTTCATTCTAAACACATGCTTCTACTATATTATTACTAAGAGAAGTGTCATCTTGGCAGTGACAAAAATGTTTTGGTTCTAAAGGTATCATTTAATTACGTGATCTATGGGGGATAAATGAATGGCAGGGCAATTGGGAAAGGACTCATATTTCTAAGCAATTACTAAGGATGAAATATCACGTTGTCTTTTCAGGTTTCCAGAATCTGCAGTTTCTGTTCTGAAGAGCCAGCATTTACGGCAGAAACTCCTTCAGTCTCTGTTTCTTGATAAGGTTTACTGGGAAAGTCAAGGTGGTAGACAAGGAATCGAAAAGCTTATTGATGTAATAGAACAGAGAGCCAAAATTCTTATCACTTACATCAATGCACATGGGGTCAAAGTGCTACCTATGAATGAATGACATAAGGGTCTTCTGTCTACAGTGCTGGATATGTTTATGCATTTTTGTTTGTTTTGAAATCAAGTACATCAACCTCAAGTCCTCCTAGGAATGAAACAGTATATCTGAATATAAAAACATAAAATTAATTTAACCTGAGCACTATATGCAGATTTTAAATGGTTTAAAAATGCATACAGCTCAAAAATATTCATTTATATTTTTGTCTAACATGGCATGTGTGTCTCAACATCTGGCTATGGAAGAGTTCTAATTATTATTCCAACTAATTTGTAAAAGCATTTGTCATGTCACTTAACAGAGCAGTATAAACCAGAGATACTGACTCCTTTAATAAAATATATTTTATGCCGTTTGACTTATCTGACCGACTACGAATGGGAATGGTTCTTGAGGTTATTCTGTCTCCGATAGATGACAATCCTGGCACTGCCCAGAGGCAATTCTACATTGGGAAATTGAGGCACATGATCTGTGAAAGCAGAGGAGGCTCTAAATGTATTCTAAATAGAATGATGGATGAATTCCAAAACCACCAGTATATTTTCTATAGCATCTAAATAATCAGCCATCTTTGAACAGTAAGAATAACATTCTATTGATTTTTTTTAAAAACTTACTTTGTTGTCAGTATGGAAACATCCATATCTGACAGTGTTATATGTTGGTTAGCTTTGCTTTCTCAGTTTTGACCCAATTTATGTTTAGTGTTTTAGAAATTAAACAATTCTAAAGTCTGATGTTACCTATTTGAAAATACACTTAGTATTTTTTCAATGAATACTTTAAAAACCTTTGTCATTTTACCAAGGATATAATTTCTGTATATTTTATTAATAATAATGATTTTGTTCTATTATAATTAATCTGATTATAATTAATCTGATTTAATTATATTTAATCTGATTTAATTGATGTTGCCCAGATAGTGACAATAGGTCTAAATACAGAGTGAGTTTAAATTTATTGTCTATTTTATTTCAATATGAGAAGTACAAGCAAAATAAATTAAAACTTTACTCTGATCAGTTCTTCTCAATGAGAACACATAACCACAACTAAAACAATGAATTTGGACAATATTAACCCGCAAATAATTACCCCAAACTTCCTCTGTGAACTCTGTAATGAGTTTGGAAGGACTTTGACATAATTGTATTCGTCTGTTGGGTCTTCATGTTCCTGGAAGTTACCCAAGATCATCTTGTATCATAGGTACTCATAAAGAGGCTTCAAATCTAGAACAAATCATCATTTCCCTCCCACTCTCCCCATCCTGCTCCTTACGTAAAAATTGATTTACTGACTGGGATATAGTTCAGTGGTACATCCCTTGCCTTGGGTTCTATCCCACAATGTCAAAAACAAACAAACAAAATCAGAAAACAAAGCCAAAAAAAAGCAAATAAAACTAATACTAAAAGTTGGTTTATGGGGTTTTTCTTTCCCCAAATATTTCAATATACAAATTATGAATGTTTACAATTAATTCTATTGTCTCTTTTCTCAGTTCTGTTATTCTAACATACAGGACGTTTTCTGTATTCTCATCAAGGATAACTCAATATCATTGTGAATTAAAACCATTAAAGATATTAGATTATAGGCTGGATTTTAAAAGAAGAACATATGTATAGATTTTAATTTATAAAAATCTATAGAGTAAATTATCAAAATAAGCACAAAGAGAAGATGGACCAAGGAGAGAGGGATCATTTGATTACCAATTTATAACTTGTTTAGGCTCATCTTCAAGTAGTACACTTAGCATCCTTATTTGCTGTATCTGTCCTCTGAAAGTTGATCTCGGATAATTCTTCTCTGATTTTCCCCATACAGCAGAGGGAGTACCTCTCTCTGTTCCCACAAATTCATAGTACTTGTTGGTCCATTGAGTTCTTACTCTGTCTGTTCTGACCCTGCTGTCTATAAATCTTCTCTCATAAATCATTCTCTTAATAGAAGAATTAGCCTAACACAAGTTTGGAGACATTGATGTGAAATAACTTTTTTTTTTCAAGTTGTCTTATACCTAGTCTTATCAAAGTGAAATATCTGCAAATAGGGTTTTTAAACATATAATTTACCATCTTAACCTAAATTTGTGATATTGATGGTATGAATTCCAAGCTCCTTAGAAGCTATCTTTAATGTGGTCTCAAGCTACACTGCTGCTTTCCTCCCATATGTGAACCTGACTGTATTTGCCTTTAGTTATTCCAAAATATCTAATACAAAATGAAAGGTCCAAGAACACATTTATTTTAGCAACATTAGAATTTTAACAGTGTATTGTGCTTTATAATCAGTGAATAATTCATGATGTATTATTTTTGAATAATGGATAGCTAAAGGCTAAGCTGTTAATTCTAATAGGTAACTTTCTTCTTTTCTCTAATTGAAACAATGAGAACACTTTGTGCATTTCAGATGCACTCAGATTATGCTGTAATCTGGTCCTCATAAGCAATTATGTGGTTTATTTATAACACTATAACAAATTTAAAATAGAATAATTTACCATGGAAGACATGCAAAAACTTACCTGTATGACATTTCTTTAAACTGATGATAAGAAAGTAAATATGTAGCTTAAAAATCTGTAATAAAACATTAGATAGTAAAGATGTGTGCTATTTTTTGGTAAGTGGGTTCATTTTCTTTTCTGTAGATGGGTTAATTTTCAAAAGCTGAATATAGAAGAATCTTTGTTACCTTTACTCATGAATAAAGAAATGATTGAACAATCAAGACCTGTACTGAATAATATTTGTGTGTGGATATATTTGATATCATCATTAATGATCATTATACTTTCTCTTGGTGTGTGTGTGTGTGTGTGTATACTGAGGCATAATATGGCAAAGTGACTTTCCCCAATTTATACAGATGTTGACCTAGAATCTACAGTGCTGGAAATGACATAGAAAGTTAGAACACCAAAACTTTCTCAGAGATTTCATTATCTACCAAGACAAAAAAAAAATTCTAACTTCAAGCATAAGGGTATTACAAATACACACTCATAAGTAGTGATAAATTTAGGCTATATTTTTGGGAACCTGCTGAGTTTGAAATAAATAAGGAAGCTACCCATTCTTTGAAACTTGTGAAAATCATATTGCCCAGTTGACTGAACATCTCCCACGTGTTATGCTCTGTGCTAGACAGTACAGATGTTCAAATGAACCAGGAAAGTTTTAATACAGTAACCATCAGATAAGACCTGTAATTAGGTTTTAAGTTACACTCTTAGTGGCAAAAGTATAGGAAAGCAATTCTTTTGAGGAATGTCCAGGAATAGAAATTGCTTAAGTCAGGTTTTAGTCACTGTTGGCAGACTGCATAGCTCTGGGTCCAAGGTAAGGAAGAATACCATGGTGGAAGGGCATGGTAGAGGAAAGCAATTCAGAACATGACAACAAAATGCAGAGAGAGAGAGAGGTGGAAGCCTCCACGACCCCAACTTTATAACTTTGCATTCCTATAGAACCAAGACTACATGGTTGATATTAAGAGCTGTCATCATATTGAGCTATATCCAAGTCTCCTGGGACTATGACTCAACAGCCTCTAAGTACCTGGACAACCAACCACAGTGAAATAACTTCCTGGGTCCCTGTGTAGGGTGTTCAAATTCTTAAAGGAATTTTTACTTTTATACTCTTGAGCCTGAGATGGATAAGGTCTTGCCAATTCCTCAGGTGCCTTCAAGCCATCTTTCCTATTGTTTCTTGGTAAAGTACTTAGCATTTTTATTGACTGTAATTTCTTCAACAACCATAGCTATTTAGCTCCAGTTTCACTTGCATTTTTTTCTGATCAAACTTCAAGTTTTTCAAATCCTTCTACTCTGCTTTTTTGCTCCTGATTATCACAGTAAACTTGACTAGGAGCTGCCAGCAATATACATGTCATGGTCTGAACGCTGTACTGCCCTGAAATTTCCTCTGCCAGGTCAATTAGTTCATCACCTTTAAATTCAGTCACACAGAAAGTCTCAGGACATGGGAAAAAATGTAGACAAATTCTTTACCAGAATGAAACATAAATGGCCTTTAGTCCAATTTCCAACAGATTCTTCTTTCTCATCTGAAACTTCATGAGCCCAGTCTTTACTATCCACAGTCCTACCAGCATTGGCATTCAGGTTTTTGAACCCCCACTTGAATCACACATTAAGCTTTTCTTATAACAATCTAAAGCTTTTACAGCTTACATCTCTAAACTTGTCACAATTCGTATCTCCACAAATCAGGTCCCAAGGTTTTTGAACCACATGGTCATGTTAGTCATAGCAATGGTCCCACTCCTGGTACCAATTTCTGTTTTAGTCTGTTTCTCATTACTGAGACCAAGAGATATGACAAGAACAATTTAGAGGTGGATAAGTTTATTTTGTCTTGTGGTTTCAGAGGTTCAGTGCATGGTCAGTTAACTCCACAGTTCTGGGCCTAAGGTGAGGAAGTACATCAAGGTGGAAGGGTGTGGAGGAGGAAAGCAACTCAGAACTTAGTAATGAGGAAGCAGATTGAGAGAAAGAAAGAGATAGCTCTGTTCACCAAGGATAAAATATTAACCCCCCTGTGACCTACTTCTTCCAGTCAAACCCTACCTGCCTTGGGTTACCACCCAGTTAATTAATATCAGTGGATTAATCCATCAATTAAGTTGTACCTTTCATAATCTGATCATTTCACCTCAAAATTCTTGCATTATCTCATATTTGAGATTTGTGGGGACACCTCATATCTAAACCACAACAGAAATTATAAGACTAGAGGGTTTTTTTTTTCTTTTGTACTCAGATTAGGAGTTTCACTGTATCTGTAGTCTATTTTTGACTACTAGTATTCAAAATGATAATTCCAAGTCATTTTGTGGCTGAAAAAATTGACCTAATCACTTTAATATCTTGTGTGCATCTCTGTGTTCCAGTATGGTAGTAATGGGAGACAAAAGTAGATATTTGTAATGAATACCATGATTAGTCAAAAATGCGTTAACTTAAGTTCTGTGTTGTACCAGTGGCACTAAACTTTTTATGAACTCTGATTCACTTTGAGAAGCTGGTTAAAAGTATAGCCTGTCTATATAATTCTCCATATAATTTCAAGGATTCCTCAGATTTGTGGATACCCATTTATGGAAATCTTTCTTCCAGGATCTTTGGTTTCCCAGGTTAAGCATGCTTGCTTTCCAGTGTATTTAAGAGGATG